GCGCGCGGCCCCTCGGCTTTCTGCCGTGACTTCCGGCGAGGCTTCCTCATGGCACCCGGGAACCAACGAGACAGGCCTAAGGAGAGGAGGCCAGGAGACTGTGAGCCAGACGTTCAGGCATGCATGCATTCATTTACCCTTCCATCTGATCAAATGGCCACTGAGCAAACTGGCTATTCCCTCTGTCTGAACATCCTGCCCCTCAGGTATCCACATGGCTTGCTCTTTCACCTCCTCCAAGTCTTTCCATAAACAGTGTTTCTCAGTGAGACCTATGACCATTCTATCCAAAATTGCAAATCCCTTTCCCCCACCAGCAATCTTTCATCCTGCTTTATATTTCACTATAACACACACCAATTTTTACTGTGCTATGTAATTTATATATTTATCATGTATATTTGTTTCCTTCCTCTAGAATGTAAGGTCCATGAGGGGAGGGATTTTTGCCTGTCTTGTTCACTGCTGTATCTCCAGCACCTGGAATGGTGCCTGACTCCTAAGTAAGCATTCTATAAGTGTTAGCTGAATGAAATGAGAAATCAAACACTCATGATCCCTGCCCTCAAGCAGCACTGTCTGACTGAAGGGACAGAAAAGTAAACACAACAGATCACTACAGATCAATGCAACATGGGGAGAGAGCTAATGTTCTAATGAGGTATATAAGGCTGTGGGACAGCTAACTATGGAAAAGAGGGTGGTGGTTAAGGCTTAGGAAAGGAGTAAACAAGAACAGCATCCACTTACAAGCTCTACACATGACCTGTGGCACCATAGGGGATCAAAAATCCACAGGTCTAGAGCCCTCTCCCAACCCATCTTACCATGATCCATGATCAGAAGCCCTATCCCCGACCATGCCCAGGGGTGAAGGGGTAAGGCACCTGAAATGTCTATCACATGTGGTCTAAGGACTTCAAACTACAATGTGAAGGGTATTCTCTGCAAAAGGCAGCATTCAGGATGCACTGCCTAGTACATCTCTAAGCAGAAACCCTGGAAGCTCTGGGTGTGGCCCCAAGTGGCTTATGTGGGACCCTCACTGGACCTAAGGCCAAGGTAACTGGGGCAATATCTGGGGTAAACTCTAAATGCATCTGTTACTTCAAAAGCCCCTCCCTCCCAAAATACATCCAGTCCACCCTTGTGCAACAAAGAGAAAGCTCTAAATTTTTCCCATTGTTCTCTGGGATGGAGGGAATTATGACAAGCTCACAAGGAGCTGTGGTCACAGTTACTGAGGCCATCAATACTAAGAAAGACCTTTGGGGATATGGTGCCCTGAGGTGCCGGCAGAGACTTGGAAGGGTATGAACAGGGAGACGATTTCAAGGAGAAAAACAGAATTTGTCACCTTGCTTGCAGGATCTACCATCTTTATAAAGTGGAGATGGTGATGATAATGTAGCACACTTTCACAAACTACAAAGGCCTTTTACTTTTAATATTTTTCACAACTACTTTGGAAGGGAGAATAGATATCCTCATCTCCATTTTACAGATGAAGACACAGAAGCTCAGAAAGGTGTCACTACCCCTAAAACTGGTAAGTGACAGAGCTACAATTCAAACCCAGATCTTCTGATCTGCTCAAGCCATCTCACTAGGACACAAGAACACCACAGAGATGCTGAGGTCTGGTACAAAAAGAGGCTCTGAGGCAATCCAGGTACTAATCTTGGCCCTGTGTGACCCGGAGAAAGTCACTGAAACGTTCTGTGCCCGCACACTCCATCAGTAAAATGAAATTAATAAAGTTTATTTCTTAAGGGTTGCTATTTGGTAATAAAGTATTCTTAACATCCTTATTTTAAAAGCCTTCCAATCCCAAAGTCTGACTGAAAGAAACAAACATAAAACAACTTGGCTGAGGCACAGTGCCAGGCAGGCACAAACCCTATTTGGAACCAAAGGAAAGAGAATCATTCGCAGAAATTCTGTCCAGGTTCCAGAGACCCTTGGCCACTACATGCCTGACAAATGCCAAATCCCTGGGGGTGGCCCGGGCCGAGAGACCTGCTTTATTATCCCCACCATGTCAAGGGCATGCAGACCCTTGCAGAGGTGTGAAAATCTACCTCAATAGTAACTTGAAATGGTTCAGAAAGGGGATGTAGCTACTCCTTTGTCAAAGCTATGATATATTTCTCCTCCCTACCCGATACCTCCTAGAGTATCTCTCAATCAAGCAGCAAGTATCTACAGAGGCCTCTGTTGTCCTAACCAAGCCTCTAGACACTGGGGGGCCAACTCCAGAGGGGGAAGGGCTGCTGCTGAGGAAAACCAAATGAGTTTCGCCCTCAAGGAGCTTACAGTCTAGTTTTTTGGCGGGGAGTTTCTCATCCCACACAGCCCTTCCCACATACACAGCTCCAAATACCTCCAACACCCCCAGAGGTCTACCCGGCAACCCCTGAGCCCCCACTCGCCCACCCCACCCAGGTCCGCGAAGAATAAGGAGTTTCTGCAATTAGACTGTTCCCCCTGCACCCCACACGAGATACTCATGAGACAAATAAGGACCCCAGCCAAGGCTCCCGCCCCTTTAAAGGGGCACCTCTTCCAGAAGAATCCTGACCCTTCGGAGAGGAAAGGAGGGAAATAACATCTCCTCACCAGAGGGGAGGGAGCGAGCGTGCCTGAGACAGACGCGGAGTCCGACCCTCAGACAGAGAAAGCTAGCGCCTGCGAACAAGCGGGTCACAGAGGCAAGCGCCCATTGGCCGCCTCACCTGCCCGTCTGGAGGAACAGGGGGCCAAGGGACGCTCAGGGGGTGGAACTCTCCTCTGGCCTGACCAATTGGAGAGCGTGGCGGGGGCGGGGCTCGGCGGCTCGGCTTCCAGGGCCAGGGGGGAAACAAGATGGCGGCTGCGGGAGGGGGTCTTCGCTTTTCAGCTGCCCCCCTCACCCGCCTTTTCCTTCTCCGCTGCCACCCT